CAAAAATTTCGCTAGATACAAATTTGAAGACAATCTTGCTGAATCATTAAAATTATTTCATAAAATAATTTCAGACGATTAAATTAGTTGTTGGAATATCAACAGTTTTTGCAATGCTATTATCAGCAATGCTTAAGTTTTCTACATAATTATTTTGCGATAGTTAAACCAAAATATTTTCAGGTTTGTATCCAACCAAATTGATAGATACCTTAGCAAAATTATTTTTTCTCCACATATGTGTATTGTATTTACTTTATCTGTATACAATTGAACTTAATTTTATATCAAATTTTTCCAAAAATAATTTGATAAATTTGATATTTATCAATTACATATCATAAATCTATATTAATGAAATCTATATAATAATTATACTGTCGTTAAAATATAAGAGCATGAATAAAATATTATATAAACCTGCATAATAATAAAATGATATTATATTAAATTGCATAGATACGATCGACAGATAAATAAATTTTGTTCCCTCTATAAAAAGCTCGCTTATTATAGAAATCACTGTTATAAAAATTTAGAAATAATATACTGATTAAGTTAAGTTAAATTAACACTCTGCTCTCGATATTATGACTTATCAAATTTCATAAAGTTTGCAAAAAATGGCGGATGCTCAAGTGAAGTTCTGCGACCGACACCGAGTACATGTACCGAGTAGATCTTACGGTGCTGGCGGGTGGTCCTCATTATGTTGGGTTCCCCATTGCTTACTCCGTCCTATCTATTTAACGTATCGTTTGCCTGCCTTGGTAACCATCCAAATTAGCTCATCCTTCTCTATTCCGCACCAACTGCATCTCCCGATCTCGCTTACGTCCTCCTTAATTATTGGGAAGACAATATTTAATAATGACGATCCGACCGTCGCGGTATGTCGTGCTAATCAAAAACACTCGTTTCCTGCGAAAGATCACGTCGTAATGAGAGCAAACAGCATGAGAGTTGGTTTATTCATAATATCATAAGAAAGTGGCCGCATATACTTTATTCTTTTTTCTACAAATTATTTCTGAAAAGATTAAAAAGATAGAGCTATAGTGTTATTTTGATGTGTCCAATGATGTTATCTCTCTTATTATTAAAATTTCTTTGAAAAGATTTTTACATATAATGTTGAAAAAAATTTTTTTTTAATTAAATAATACAACAATAATATATATCGTGACAACATTCTGATAGATATTACGATTAACTTTCAAGAAGTTTCAGGAGAACAAAGTTACGACCTCGCCAATCCGACACGCAAATTTATCTTAGGAAGAAAACGGGATAGATATGCTCACGGAAGCGAATTTAAAAGTCAATGGCCTGTAAACATTAATGCCTTAAGTAACGAAAGATAGCAGAGTGCTTTGTTACGAGAGTTTATGAGCTTCTTTATTGCCATCGTGATTTCTTCCCGATTGCCAAGCGTGCAGCTAGCGTAATATCACGCTATTGCAAATGTAAGGTTTAGCTATAAGAGAAGTTAACCGTCGGCGAATCGTCTTACGTATCTCTGCTTATATAAGCTAAGTTTGAAATGATATCGACTAACGAATAACAATTCCTCAGAAAGACAAACTTAACGATGGATGTCTATATTTTGGTTTTAATTGAACGATCTCATTACATCAAAGCAGAACATTCTACATTAATTTCTGTTCTTTGAGAAACAAATGTCCATTTTATGCATCGAATGTCTTCCATAGGAAAAAATTAGTCTTAAAGAAAAATATTTTCATACGTAAGAATATTATAATTTCTTTTAAAGAATTTTAGTCTTTGATTGAAATTTATATCGATTATAAGTATTATTATTTTGCTTAATTCAAAATTGAAAATCTTCTATATTGAAGATTATAATATTCTTGCTTAAATTTGAAAATCTCGATTTAAGACTAATTTTTTTCCGTACGCAGGATTTTTATTTGTGATTAATAACTTGGCCCGATTCAGAATTGTTATTAACCTGATAAACAGATACGCGTTGTCGTCTCACCGGTTCTTTGCCCGGTACAGAGATCGTTACGAATAGAGCAACGATATAAACTTGCTCGCCCTGGTGCGCGATATGTTTTTGGAGTTCGGCATCGATCCCGATAAAGCGGCGAAAATAGACGTCGCGCGGATTTCCGCGCGATGAAATTTACGGCGCCAGCCAATTCCGCGAAAATGGAAGAACGTCCGCGAGGTTTTATTCGGGGGTGCGGGCGTCGGGCGCTTTATCGGCTCTCCTATCGGGACTCATTTGTTTTTGCTTATCGCGAAGTTACGTGACGGAGCCACCGTAAATATGACGGACGGGTGCGCGACGATGGAATCTCAGCGCGCCCGTCAGAACAAACGAGCGTCACAGACGAACCCCCAAAAATCTCCCGACACGCGGCAACGCGAAGCGATGCGACGGCTCGATTTAGGGGCTGAACGTCGAGAGGGAAGTCTCGAGACTGAGAGGGGTTGACGTTCGACGTTGCGAATCGATATGCCTACCTATCTACCTACCTACCTACATGCGCGAGCAAGCCGTATCTCCGTTACTGGACATCATGGAAGACATGGCCGAAAATTCGGAAATGCTCATATTTTTATGTTTCAGGCACGTTTTTGTCGTTGTGTCGACCACGATACAACATTTCATTCTTTCAGCTACGATTTTGACATTATGTAAATTGTGACATTTTATAAGTTAATTATGTCATAATTAACCTGATATAGTAATTATGACTTTACTTTTTTTACATGTTGTAATCGAAGTTATAGTTATAATTTAGAATAATAAAACAGCTTCTATAAATAAATCGCTTATTAATTCACAATAAACATGATAATAAATTTCAATGTATTTTTAATTTTTAACAGTAAATTCGCTGCTAAATTTAAAATCATACGTTTAATTTTAAACGTCCAATCTGTCGATTAAAAGTTAAACCAGAGGTCTTGTCATTTATTTTTTGTCTTGTAATTGAATTAAAAGCGATGCTATCTTGCCAATCTTACTTTTGAAACGAGATCCCACATTAAATTATTATTAAAAGAAAAAAAATATTCAGTTATTAACAGATTTATCAAAAGACAAAGTTTTTTTCGAAATGTTTTTAGTCCGCTTCCAATGATGTTTCACGTCGGCTAATCCAAACATGATCTCTCCGCTTTATCGGTGTCACTTAATGCAGCGACAATTGAAAACTATCTCATCCGCACTCTTAATTTTTTTCAATCTTAATCACCACGCCTAATTGCTCAATTGCGCTCATTACCGTCTCCGACGTAGTAAAGCGAGTGGCGATTAAATCTCTCCCCCGTCGCGCCGCCCCCCCCCTCTCCCGTGCCGCAATTCCCCGCTCCGTGACGGCACGTCGCATTTGCACGAGAGAAACTTATCCCTCGGTCACAAAAATCGCTGTATAGATAATTCCTGCTCCTGGGTCCCAGCCACGGGGCGGAGCGTCGCGAGGAAATGCCCCCGTTGGCAGTTTCCAGCCTCGCCCCGTTCTCTCCTTCTCGCTCTGTCGCCCTCTATTCCCCACTTCCACGGGGGAGGGGGGGGGGAATCTCTCTTCCGTCGACGAGCGTTGCGAGCCGTCGGTCCCCACTACCGGGCGCTCAGCCGGAGGCAAAAGGAAAATCAGGGCGGTGCTGGCTGAGCGGTCAAACTCAGTCCACACGGAGAGCTCGGCTTGGTTAGAGGCTACTCAGAGCCGCTGGTCAGAGCTGGTCATCACTGATCCACAAGGGCACTGTCAAACGTCGGACGAATATATATTCCCGGTGTGATCGATGTGCCTCGCGCGCGTCCTTCCCTGAAGCTGACCGTGGACGAAGGAGATCCGAACATCCGAACGAAGATCCGGATTCGTGAGAGGCCAAGATGCGCGAGTCAGTGAAGAGTCATTCGTGAAGCAGTGAAGCCACACCGAGCCTCTTTATCGCGGAATGAAAGGATAGCTTCTGTACAAGCACAGGAAATTTCACGAACGTGCATCTCTTTCTTTGCGAGTCCGAGCAGTGCTAATCGATCGGAAACGGAACGGTGATCCATCGACGTCCGAGAATGACAGTAATAAGGATGACCTCGCCGGTGACGCCTGCATCGACCAGCCCAGACTCGGCGGACGAGGCTCAGGCGCTGCGGGCGAGTCCTAAGCCGGCTCATCGATTGAGCTTCTCCGTCGCGGCTCTGCTGGCGGACACCAAAAGGACACCGTCGGAACCGTCGACGAGGCAGGACACGCTTCTAGCGTCGTCGAGATCGTCGGCGTACGCGCCAATTCGACAGGAGCCTCGCGTGCTGAAACACCCGTACGACTTGAAAACGTCGAGATACGCTCTGTCGTCGTCGCCCAGCCTCAATCAGGAGGCCAGACTGATTCACCGCGTATCTCCTCACAGCGCTTCGGAGTCGAGAACACCGCCGAGGTATTCCGAAGCGATCGATTACGCCTGCAACATCGAGTCGCCCGGCAAACGATCGACTTCCGACAGCGTGGACTATCGCGTGCATCCATCCACCGACGCCAGTTCCACACCGGAACCAATGGTAGGTTGTTCCTCGTCTCCGAAGATCGTCGGCCATCACGGCCAGGATGCCGGCTCGCAGTCGCCAAGAAGCAGCTCCCACGGCGAGGCGCACTCGAGGTGTTCCGAAACGGACGACATCGAGGACGACGACGAGAGCAGGCTGGTCGACGTCGAGGATCTTCAACATCATCCGTCCAGCCCGACTCCCGTTAGGCCGACGCCGGCCTATCTCGGCGGTTTTTCCACCATCGGCGGTATCCCGGAGATTCCGCCTGGTCTTCACCCCGCGGTCTGGGGTGGCGGACATCAGAATGCAGCCGCCGCCGCAGCGGCGGCCGCGGCGGCCGCGGCCACGGCCTTCTTCCCTTCTCATTTCTCTCATCATGCTCCTCTGAACGGTAAGCTGCAATCTTTTATTTTTTAACCGTTTACATTTATTTATTTCCTTAACGTCGAAAATGTCTAACCAATTAATTCGATATTTTAATTGATATCTAAGCGGATCGATGATCCGCCGATGATATACCGATAATATTAAGAGAAAATGACACTTGAATGAGAAATCTCATTTTCCTTTATGTCCCGCATAAAGGAGGTTTTCCTAAGTAGCCATTAATCGTTTCATTTAATAGTCATTAATCATTCGCTCGTTCTCAACGTCAATTTCAAAAGAGCCGAGCCGATTTGATCGTGCGACGACAACTGTGTTTGCGATTGTCTTTGAACTTTGGCGGAGTGCCAATCGCCCTTGTGTTCCTCGGTAGATTCTTTTCATGGTTCATTGCGGCTAAAGCGATTACGCGGTTACAGACGCGGTTTACGGATGGCAATTTCTCGCTGCTATATAGAATCCAGACAACTTTACTCCTTATCGATACGTAATATCGTACGTGATGATATTCTGAAAACACAAGCTCCGCAGAAGGTTATCTTGTGGTAATAATCACGCAAATGTACTTCTGTTTACGGTTTTACAACACAATGATTCAATCAGCTCGTAACAACTCAATAATTTTCTATAAGTCTCCATATAGTAAATCTTCAATTCTCTAATAGAAATAATTACAACATTTTTTTAACTTTTGATAACTGATTTGACGAACTGTACATAAACGGCATTATCTCTGGTAATTATTTTAACAATTTACGAATTACGAAAGTCAATTATCCAAGAGATAATTTGCTTGGCGTCATTTTGCTTGTGTTAACGAGTTCACTAGAGATGGACTTAACAGAGGAGAACTTAACTACATTTTGCTCGTGAATTTTTTAACGAAGGAATGGGTGATTATCGCAGAAGGATGTCCCGAGACAAATCGAGCAAACAGAAATTGATTCTCTAACGACCGCTTCAGCCACTGCTGAACGATAGCCTACCGTCGCTCAATCGGGCTAAACAATTCTCACGTATTCCCTGCTTGATAAATAATTGTCACGAGAGAGATTGTGATTTATACGTAAAAATTCACCTAATATTGTTATATAATAAAACCTATCTCATCCTTCAAACATTTAATCACAGTATCATCCAATTTAATAAGCTATTTTGTATTTCTATATTGACTTTTTTATATACAAATCCTTTTAAATGTTTCTTTTGAATACAAAGTTTTTCTTAATTTATTAATTAGTTTTCATTATAACGATTGTAGGAACTTTTTCTTATTAATTCTTTTATAAACTATTTGATTAACGTAGATTAATTTGTAATGAATATGCATTATTATGTAAAGCATTCAAGCGATTAAAAAAATGTCGATACTGCCGTAGTTATTACTAATTTAACTGAAATAATATTGATAATAAGTGTGTATTAAAGAAATATAAATACACATAAAATAAAATTTAATTCACGAATGAAGATATCTACTTGTGCCCTATCGTAAGAATAAAAAAATCTCGGATAAGGTCTTATATGAAATATACGCACAGTACAGGCGAAATGCCATAATTCTGAAATATGAACTCTCATAGAAGGTACTTTCACAGATCGGCGCACCCCTTCAAAGTTTTACATCACCGTTCTTTTATCATGATTATCTTAAATAAGTGATTCCTGTACCATAAAAGAAACTTCACTGGTGATACAAATGTGAAAAAGTTCAAATAGTTTTATTTTTAAATTGTATGTAGATAATTATAAACAACACGTAATTTTTCTAAAAATATTATTGCTTTTTACTTTGAGTATTATTGAACGAATGAATATATGACAGTTTTATCAAAGTTGAGGTAAAAGATTTAAAAAAAACTTATGTATTTGAAGCAAAATGCATAAATTCATCTCTTGAATTTATTGAAACATTTTTTTAAGCTTTTCGTAATTATCTTTTTTTTATCATTATTTCTTTTTATACAGATACATACATGAATTATAAAGACTCCTGACTTTTAATGCTGTTTTTATTATAAAAATATAATAACAGCAATAGTCTTCACATTATTATTTATTCCGCTCGTAAATATCCTCGGAATTTAAGTATATTTTTAAAAGGCGCAGAGCGCCATCGATACACGAGGGCGATGAGGAAATCGAGCACGTTAATCCTTTCGATCGTTATGCAACGCAATAAATAAAAGACACAAGTATCCAACCGTTCACAATCCTTTCTTTCCAGTTTGCACTACGTCCGATGATCGTTGCATTCGTTTGGAGCGCGCTTGCTTATCTCGGCGGAATCAGCTAATTATTTCGAATGCACATTCTCGATCGGTAGCCCCGATCGGGATCGAAATCGGGATTGGCCTCCGCGTTTTTGGTGGCCCTGCGACGCGGAGAAATCACCGGATGCCGAGACTAATTGGAATCCTTAGCGAGCGGTGAGGAAACGTATACAAAGGACAATTCCGAAGTAGGAATCGCGAGCATGGCGCATACTACTAACTCGCGTTATAAGCCCGGGCTGATGCGTAGAGAATCTTGGAACGGCGACAGGGAGGAACGAGAACGAGGCGCGGAGAGGCGAGCGAAGGGCGGTTCTCCGACGACGACGAATTTGAAATTCAGAAACGGCAACTGCCAAGACGACGACGACGACGATGACGACGACGACGACGACGACGTGGCCTTTTGTCTCGTCGTGATCTCAGCTCGTTGCTTCGGTACAGAAGCTGTTCACCTCCGCTCTACAAATCTGTCAATTGTCTCGAGACAAATCTCAAGGAATATAACCAATATATTCCGATACCGGACTCCCCGTCTTTCCTTTCCGTCTTCTGGCTCGATACGACTTCTCGATTATGTAAACATAGCGTAGAACATAGCCATAGACATTCTCTGTACATTCAGAGATTTAAAATGTATACGAACAATTATTTTCTTCTCGAGTATTGCATTGTTTTTAAATATTATAAAATTTAGCAAATATATCGTTTTGCATTTTATTTTGAGAGGCAAATAAAAAATATCAAAATATTGGATATTAAATCATTAGAAAGGCGCAAATTTTCTCTTTGCATTCTTCGTATCGATTTCTAAGGTTAAATTATTTATAAAAATAACACAAGTACTTTTATTATCTGCGTCATTTAAATTCTCGCAGTTTAATAAAATTTCCAGATTACATAAGGCTTTTTCTCACCTTAGATTAAGACGACGGTATTACAACAGTTCAACAAATTGATATCAATAAAATGCGGATCTATCTAAATTACCGTGCTCCTGTTTGAACACACGAGAGACCACACACAATTTCACGATGACCGTGACTAATAGAATAACGCAACATTAACCATTGATGAGCCGTGTTTTCTAACGCGCAATTAACGGAGGCCGCAACCGTGTCTTTTTCTAAACAACGAGCTCGGAGAATATCGAGCTCACGCCAACGACGACGTCTTCCCTCGCGCGAGCAGGCGTTACGATCGGCGCTCTTATGCGAGCGGTAGTATGCCGCGGCCCGGCCGTGTAGAAACAATTCGCGGCCGGAATTTTGCGGTCGGCCGGCAAAAAAGTAATGAGGCCAGTTTGCGGCGCCGTTCCGACGGAAAAATTATGAATTGCACCCTAAAAAGACGCGTTTGCCCTCGCCGGGCTATTCCCAGTCGGTTCGAGGCCGGCAAAAACGGGACATTGCGGTCTCGGGGGGGGGGGGAGGCCCTTTCCTCCGTTGGCCTACCTATCCCGAAGGAACACCTTCGCGAGAGGGGACTATCCGTCCGTCAGTTTGTTCGTATGAGCATAACGCTCGCGCTCGTCGCTCTTCCCATGCGCAACATGCACCCTCCCGACTGAAAGCGTGTTCTTTTTTTTCTCCGCTTCCAGAGAACGGCGAGCCGGCTAAGATTAAGTGCAACCTGAGGAAGCACAAGCCGAACCGAAAGCCCAGAACGCCCTTCACGACCCAGCAGTTGCTGGCCCTCGAGAAGAAGTTCAGAGAGAGGCAGTACTTGAGCGTCGCCGAGAGAGCGGAGTTCTCTTCGTCGTTGCACCTCACGGAGACACAGGTTAAAATCGATTCTACATTATTATTGCTTCGCGTACGAATTAACGGAATCCTGAATTTCGCATCAAATTCGCTCTTAACAGACAATGATGTTCGCTACATGATATAGCATTTTTAACTCTAAATAGATATAAATGTAATCATAAATAATTGCTATCGACAAAGTGCATGCAAAGCATCATTGATTGAATAAAGTGAAAAATGTCTTCTTGTTCAATTCCTTTAATTTTTTGTAAGATATATAGAGATGTGAAAATCAAGATTTCTCGACATCGAATCGAATCTTACTTTCTTTGTTTGCATCCAAACGGAATCGAATCGACAAAATTTTACCGGAATCGAATGAAATCGAATTGAATCGTTGAAACATCACTTTTAATTAACGACATAATTATTGTTAGGTTGAGTTTTAATATATAGATAATAGATTTCTATGTAAAAAAAAAAAATAATATTGATATTAATGTATGTAATTTATATTTGAAATGTTTCGAATTTGTATTCGAATAATTCGTACATCTCCAGTGAAATATGACAACATGATTTTGCAAATATTTCTTAACCGTTAACGTAGTTAACGAATAAACTCGACTCTTGCGTTTATTCGACAAAAGCCTTAAATTTATTGTCGATTTATTGAAGATTGTTGTACAGCTTATATATATTATAGCTTATATTGTAGATTATTATTAGAGAGTTTACGGAGATAATTTATCGGAGAAGCGGAGTTGGGGAACGTTTTATTGGGAATCATAAATTCTTCACCCGTTATGCAATCAAATTAGCACATTAGTAACCGACCCGCGGTGAGGATCGTAATTTCTAGCGAGACGCGGCGCGATGCGGCGCGGCGTTCGCTAAAATTCGCTGAAACTGGCACCGGCGGAACGTGTGTACGCTCCCCTGCCATCTTTCGCCACTTTTATCTCCTCCGGTGCCGGGTTGCCATTCACCAGTCAAAACAGTCCGTGCGTGTCTCGCGAGACTTAGTTATGGATAGCTATAGCTGGCTCGGCGGAGCCAGTCAGATGTGCGGTAATTAGTGCGCACGTAAACGCGCGTTATCCGTACATGAGTACATGATGATACAGGGCAAGGAGGACGGTAATTTTATTAATAGACTACAAATTGTCTGAGACGCGTTCCACGCGATAGCACGCGATGACCGGCCAATTATCTTCGGTTGAGATCCCGATTCTCTGGCAGCGATTTCCGCGTCTGGAAACGCATTTCGCGCGCGCGCGCGCGCGCGCGCGCATACGAGCGGGCAGGGTAAGCGTGAATCGGTAAGCGAGCTCATTTCCGCGAGCGAGCCGCCGCGCCGCTCCGAAACGATTCCCGACAACAACCGCGCCGATTATTTGATTAAGATAGACGTTCGATAAAATTGCAGCGAGGGGTAATGATTTGTTTATAGCCCGCGGAGATGCGTCGCCGCGATATCGCGGATTATTTATCAGTTTCCTCTCCTCGACTTTATCGTGATGTCATCGAAGCGCTCTTTGCCAAAATTATAAGTGCCTCGAAAGTGACACATTTAAATGGGATTTAATGTGCCTCCATCTTCCAGTTTATTTTAAAGATTTTAAACGCGATGCCAAACGCTCGAGCTGCGAATCCCAACAGTCCGAACGAAATTACACGAAAATTATACGATGTTGTAAAATTGATACAATTTATTTCCATCGTAACTTCAAATTAATGTCAAACAAATTTTGTGTTGATACATCTAGTACGATACAAGTATTACCAGACATTATTTTCAATATAATAAATTTTTGGCCCGTATTCTTTAACTTTGGAAATAAATTATTTTTTATATTTTTGTATACATAAAACTTTTTAAAATTATTTTGCTTTTTTAATTGTATATTTTCTTCATTATTATTTGTACGTTGATATAACGTTATTCGCCCGGAGCGCGAATATAAATTTAGAAGCTGCAACTCAACATTATTCTCCCCCCTCCAAATAATTGTTACGTCGTCCCGGAATATTTGCAGACACGAGAGTAATCATATCCCATATTAGTTATCGTGTCGGAACTCATTATTCTAAATAAATAAATGCCGTTGTAAAATCAAATTGATTTATTGTTGCAGGTGAAGATCTGGTTTCAGAACCGACGTGCCAAGGCAAAGCGTTTGCAAGAAGCGGAAATCGAGAAGCTAAGAATGTCGGCCGTGAGACAGCATCACACGGCGCTCTATGCTTCGCACCCGGGGATCTTAACCCCCGCGGGACTTTATCCTGTAGGAATGCTGTCTCATCCCGGGTTGACGCCCCATCATGCGATCACTCAGCATCCCGCGAGGGAATGAGAGCAGTAGTGTTCGATACTGGTCTGAAACCGCTGAAAGAATCTGTCATCGAATTGTTATACATTCAAAGGAATGATTTGGACTATGCAAAAAAGGCAGACTTGCAAATTATGCGATTGTAAAACATTGATTAATAAAATGGTTTTAAAATGATTGCAGAGAGAGAGAGAGAGAGAGAGAGAGAGAGAGAGAGAGAGAGAGAAGAAGAAGAAGAGTAGTA